GGCCGCCGCGTCCGTGCGCGCGGCCTCCTGCGTCTTGGTCTCGCTCGCGGCTCGGCGCTGAGCGGCGGCGGCCGGCGGGATGGAGAGAAGCAGGATGAACCTGCGGAAGGGGCCGGACACGCTGTGCTTCGACAAGGACGAGTTCATGAAGGTACGAGCGGCCTCGGTGCCCGCAGCGGGGCCGTGGGTGGGCGCCCCGGTGCCCTCCCGGCTGTCTTCGGGCCCGGCCCGCGCTGCACGTCGCAGTGAGTCTCTGGCTTGGCCGGCGGAGCTGGAGAAGGCACCTCTGTACCACCGCGCAGGTCGGGCGAAGAGGCCCGAAAGTTCTGGGCGAGTGGTTTGGAGCCGAATGTCCAAGCCCGGGGTCGGCCCGGCCCGGTTACTGTGCAGAGCAGGCCCCCTTCTGGCCCCTTGTCAGCTCGTTGCCCAGTCCTGGGGGGCTCAGAGCTCCGACCCGACCCTACCAGGGGGCCTGGCTGCGGGAGGACACAGCTCTTAACCTGAGAGTTTGCCTGGCCTTCGTTCAGGCTTCCTGCAGTGAGATGTAAAGGCGTGGACCGTTGCTGCTGACAGCATTAAGCAAACCATTCCTCGTTTCTAGGTTTGCCCCACCTGTTTTTATAAGTGAGCCTGTCGTTAGCAGGTACTTGTAAGAAAGGTTCTTTGGCTTTGAAAATGTCCAGGCTTTGGTTCGGAGCTTGGAGGATCTTTTTCCTATTTAATGTATCATTAAAACCATCCAGAACGTATATTTAATTTCTTTGGGATTAGAATTTTTGACACCACTTAATAGCCGGTTTCACTTAAAATAGTTCTGACTCAGTAGACCTGAAGTTTTAAACAAGTGATTTAAATCCCTCGTTTGGACCTTTTGAATAACTTTTCGAGTCATAATGTGTTGGGTGTTTTTTCTTGACTAGTCTCTTTGTCATATGCATTCAGATCACATCTTCAAAGCTCTGGTACACATGCCCTGCACGATTTTCAAGCCTCCAGGTCTGGGACTTGAACTGCTGTTGACCATGAAAAGTCCAGTGCCTCAACCACCTTGCCACCTGCTGGTCCAAAGCTCTGATTTTAAAAAGTACTGGGTCTTCCGGTCTTCTTTTTGCAAAGAAAAATGCATCAAGACTTTCCCAATGACCTAAAATTTATATCTGAGCCCTCCCCAGTGTGACCGTATCGTTTCTAGTATGTAAGACTTGTCTGGACCCACGAATGCTGTACCTTGTTCTTTTACAGTGATGTTCGTGCTAAACCAGTGTAGTAAAAGGTGCATGAAGGCGTGTACAGAGTCACCTCACAGATCCAGAAATCCTGTTTCACCCTCCGGCCAAGAGCGAGCCTGAAATGAGGCTAGAATGGGGAGAGTGAGCTCAGAGAAGCGAAGAGCACATAGAGATCAGGGGTCTGCTCCGACGACGAACCTCAGAGTAGAAATAATGTCCATTCTTAACTTCAGGCTCGCTTTAGCCCAATACCAGCATCCTTTCTGACTCACTAGCCCCACCTCCTTTCTCTGAGCCCACAGAATGCCTTTGGTAAACAGAGCTTTAGGAACTAGAAATCACGAAATTTAAGGTCTAAAATAGAACTTAGAGGAAGTGCAAACTGGGAGATCGCTTATTCCTTCCTGGCTCTTGAATCTGATGTGCTGTGAGGTTTGTAGTGCTAATGAATGGGGCCTCTGTGAGCAGGAACTATGTAGAACAGCTGTTCTTTGTTGACTTTCTAGGTGTAACCTAGATTAAAGGTCATTTGCAATTTGAATTTCTTTTGAAATTACCTTTGTAAGTTGCAGGTCCATGGCAGACAAGATGAGTGGAATGCTTGCTGTCAGATTTTTTCCTTCTATATTTGTGTCTCATTCAGCTCGTTTTATAGTTGGATAGGCTTTATATGTGTGAGAAGGCTCGGATGTCAGAGCTGCACTCACAGAATTGGGAATTACGGGAAATCTAGTCGGGTGATTGGGAACTGTTAGTTTGCCAGATGTGACGAGGGTGTGCTAGCCCAGTGGCCGGAGTGGCTCATCCAGTCAGCGGGCACTCACCGACACCGTCTGTGTGCCAGCCAGCACTGCAGGCACAGGGTAGAGAAGAGGGTTCGGGCCCTTGGACACCGTGCTAGGAAGGACCTGTGTTGAGAACCTATGCTTAGTCTGAAGTGACTGAAGTATAGAGAGATGACCGGGAGTGAGACGGAAGGGCAGGAAGACGGAGGGTGGGCTGCACGTTGTAATGGGCTTTCTGTACTCTTGGAGGGGAGGGTGTGATTCCTTGTTGCTTGAGCATTGTACATTGAACAGTCATTACTGTTGACATTCTTAGAAAAGGCTGTTTGCATTTGTTTTTCAAAAGACTTTTTGTTTGTTTTGTTCTTTTTTGCCATCAGAGAGACTGAAGTGAGAAATCACCCACTTGGGGAATGGCCACAACGCAATCCCTCTTCCTTCATTCTCCTCTTAGGATTTTGGGCATGCATGCACATATTCCTGGTGTGAGTTTTGAGCCACTGGGTCTGGGACTCGAACCACAGTCAGCCACATGGGAGTCCAGTGCCTTAACCACCATGCTACCTGCTGGCCCTGGCTATTTCCATTTTGAGAAGAGCTTGTCGAAGTGTGTCATTTAAAAGATAAAAATTCCCTCAGAATGTAGGCAGCAGCAGAGAATGTTCTTGGTTAGGAGCTACCCTTCTTGAAACCTTCCCAAAGTAAACAAGTACCCAACTCACCTCGTGTGATCAAAGGTCTGTCTCTCCGCAGCAGCTCATAACTGACGGGATGGCTTGGCACTCTTTATAATTGTATGTAAATGTGACATAATTGCATTAATGCTTTGTCTCTGGCCTTATTTTTCAGGAAGATTTTGACGTCGATCACTTCGTGTCGGACTGCAGGAAGCGGGTCCAGTTGGAAGAGCTGAGGGATGACCTGGAACTCTACTACAAGCTGCTCAAAACGGCCATGGTGGAGCTCATCAACAAGGACTATGCAGACTTCGTCAACCTTTCCACAAACCTGGTAGCTTGCTGTCCAGCCCCTGCATTTGTACACACACGATTTCTCTCTCATTCATACTATTTAAAATTCTGAGGCCTTTTAAAACCTCTCCATTCATTTTCCCCTAGAAACTTGAAAAGATCACTGAGCTCATTAATAAAAGAACCAAATACATTTTTGGTTTTAGTTTTTACTCACGTAAGACTGTTTTAACTTGGTTTTATATTTAAATGAGATCTAAATACTAGTGAAAAGTAAAGAGTCGTAAGAGCAGGGGTGGTTTTTCTTAGCTGCTAATCTGTTCCCATGAAATCTCACTGGCTTGGACTGATTTGCAAGGACAAATATCACTGCCCTTAATGAAATGTCTGACTTGCTTTCAGACTTATACGTAAGCCAGAGCTGGGTCGAGGGACACTGACTAGCGTTGGTCGTTAGCAGGCTTGGTTTTAGAAAATGTAAAAATAGTTTGTAATGAGCATATCAGTTCGTAAAAGCAGTTCAGAAATGCTTGAGTTTAATACTCTCAAGATTTTCTTTTAGTCTCCTTGTTCATATTTTATTTTCCTTTAAAATCTATTTGTTCAAAGAACTACAGAAAGTAGCTCTCTGCATGGAGATGGCCACTTTGAGCATCAAGGTCAGTGAGCCATCTTTGCGTTTGGGATGTGCGCTAAGATAAGCTGATTGGAAACCCAGGAAGCCTAGTTCCGTTCTATTTCATTTGGACTCCCTCACAGGGTTATAATGTGTGGGCAAGCTGCAGTCCATCGGATGCCCGGGTCAGCTGGGTGACACCACAGACAGTCTGCTGGCCATCCACCCGAATTTTTCACATTCATTTAAAGATTTCACCCAAAGGCAAATTGTGTACAAGGAAGCTTTAATTTATGGTGACTTTATTTATTTTCACTTTTATATTTTTCATGCATCATGCATATCAAGAGATCTTTTATTTTCTGTCAACAATAGTAGTGGCATAGTAACATTTTTGTTTTTTCATGACTTACAATGTGTTGTACAAAAAAAATAATAATATAAATCCAGTACCACTTTGATCATTAAAAAGCCAGTTGGGGGACCAGCAGATGGCATGATACATCGCTGGACTACCAGGTAGTTTGCCGTGGTTCGAGTCCCGGATCCAGTGATTTAAACCTCACGCTGGGTGCGTGTCTGCTTGCCCAAAGTCTTGAGAAGGGAGGGAAAGGGGTTGTTAGCGTGGCCATCCCCCAGGGGTGATTTCTCGCTTTCTGTCTTTCTGGCAAGTAAGTACACACACCCTATAGCAAAAATCTCTCAGGAAAAAAAAAATTAAAAGAAAAAGAAAGGCCAATTGATTATTGCCCTTGATTATGATATATTTGTGCCAACATGAGTTTTGCTCTTAGGTTGGCATGGACAAAGCCCTCAACCAGCTCTCTGTGCCTCTGGGACAGTTACGAGAAGAGGTCCTGGTAAGTTCCACAGTAACATTAAGTAGTCACCATAAAAGTGATATGCTTATTGCCTTCTGCAAGAGGGACTCTTCTAGTCTCTTAGGATGGTGTGTTCTGCTTTTTAATGGTCGATGATTACAGTATTTGCCCTAAAAAAATATATATAAGTAGGGGCCATCAGGTGGCATGGTGGTTAAGTGTGCTGCACTCCAACATGGCTGACTGCGGTTTGAGTCCCAGACCTGGTGGCTTGCTTTCTCACTTTCTCTCTCTCTCTCTGTCCCTTTCTGATCAATTAAAATAAATAAAGTTAAATAATTCTTTTTAAAAATTGTAAATAAGTCTTTGCTTTTCACATGTGCCTAAAAATTCTGTTTGATTTGAGGAGTACAGATTCTCAGTGTAGACAGCTTCAAATGTGGAGGAAGAGGAGAAGGCTGTTTGAAAATTCAGCTTAGTGCCTCCTTACTACATACATAGTCACCAACTGAAGGTTGACTTAGAGTTCAGGATTTTGTAATTTTATAGTTAGTTTCTCAAATAGTATTTTACACGTGGTTAGGTTCCTAGACTGGTCCACAGGAAGCATTTAAGCCTTGATGTAACCGAAGGGTAATAGAAGATGAATGTAGCACTAGCCTTGTGTGTTAGCGCTGCCCCGAGATCATGTCTGCTGTGGGGACGGCTCCCCCCCTCCAGCCGCTCCATCTGAATAAGCCGTGGGGGGTGTGCTAGCCTTTCTGCCAGCAGGAAGCTGTGCTGCCCCACCTCTCCCCCCAGCCCACCCAGCCCTGAGCACTGATGGGCAGTCGTAAACTTGGTGCAGGCACCACCGTCATCTGCACGTGTACCCACCGCAGCACGCACAGAGTGACATCTGGGCCCGTAAGACAGTGCCTGGTGTGCTGTGGGTTCTGGGTAGTGACACGGGATCACTCGGTGGTCCAGCACTGCCCACAGGAGGAGTAGGTGAGAGGGATTGTCAATGTAGACAGCTTCAGATGTGGAAGAGGAGAAGGCTGTTTGAAAACTCCACTTAGTGCCTCCTCACTCACGTACAGTCACCAACTGAAGGTTGACTTAGAGTTTGGAATTTTGTAATTTTATAGTTAGGTTCTCAAATAGTATTTTATTGAGTATGAGAGAAAGAAGGGTTTTACGTTTCATGTATTTGAGTTAGCAAATGTTTTGAAATGTTTACATCTTGTTTGGTCTTTAAAAAACATTGAATGGCGCCAGTAGGTGGCTTGGTGGTTAAGGCACTGGATTCCTATGTGGCCAACCATGGTTCAGGTCCTAGACCCAGCAGCTCAAAAATCACACTGCTGGGTACAGCCGCGTGCATCCCCCAAATCCCGAGAGGACAGTGGAGGACAAGGGGTTACACTGTGGCCGTCCCTCCTAGGAGGTGATTTCTCACTTTCCCTCTTTCTGCCTTTCTCTGATGAGTGTGCATGCCATATGGGCAAAAGCCTAAAAAGACAAAACAAAGCTTTCTAATGTCATTTTCTTGGACTGGAAGGGGGACGGTTTCTGTGGTCCCTGTTGGAGTCCACACCAGCCTTTGTGTGGCTGTCTTGTCGTCTTTTCAGTGACCCTGTCCTGTACCCTGTCTTTGGGTGTAGCATTGGGCAAGCCTTAGCCTTCAGCCTTCCACTCCTCTCTCTAGACACTCTGTATGCTGGGTTTGCCCACCTGGCCTCTGCCCTGGCTGTGTGTAAGCTCTCAGACAGGCTGGAGTCCTGTCTGCCCGGCCAGCACTGAATACACTCCCTTTTTCTCAACTGTCTCTTAATTTTTCTTTTTTTAGTTGTTGTGCTCACTGGGGAGAGACAGAGAGGGAGAGGGTGAAAACAGCCCCCAAATCCTGCTCCTCTGTTTTCTCATTTGTCAGCATTTTGGGCATGTATGCTGCAACCCCATTCTTCATCCTGCCCAGGATGATCCCCAGGGGGATGACTGCACCACAGTCACCTCTCCATTCCTCTCGCAGGGTTTTCTAGGGGCATGCACTCACGCATGCCCAGTGATTTTGTTTTGTTTTTGAGAGGTTTTTGCTATAGGGCGTGTGCGCTCGCCAGAAAGACAGAGACAGAGAGACAGAAAGCGAGAAATCACCCCCCAGGGGGGGATGGCCACGCTGCAATCCCTTCTCCTCCATTCTCTCAGGATCCTGGGCACACACACACGCGCCCGGTGTGAGTTTAAGCCCTGGGTCTGGGACTCGAACCATGGTTGACTACATGGGAGTCCAGCGACATAGCCATTACGCAAACTGCTGGTCCCCCCAGTGTATTTTTTTCCAAGCTGCTGAATCCGGGACACAAGCCGTGCAGTCAGCTCTGTGGGAAATAGCCACCTTAACCTCCATGCCATCAGCTGGCCCCAGTGTAATTTTCTAATCTCCCATCCTTGTGTGTCTCTGTCCAGAGATCTTCAGAGTCTCCTCAGGTCCCTTCCCCTCCATGTGTCCCTGTCCTTTGATTTAGGTTGTCCTTTCTCTGCCTGGCCCCTGTGGCAGTCACTGTGGGTGTTCATCGCGTGACCCTGGCTTTATGAGTCCTTAGCTTCTAAGTCATGAGTACCTTAGACAGCGATGGGGTCTGGTATTTTGTGGTTTTGCTTATCCCTGCATAATAGCTGTAGATGTTAAGTCCCATGGAGTTGAATTAGATATGTAAGTTTCATAATGTTGTGAAATGATTTCTGCAATACATTTTATTTGTTCTTTTAGAGTCTTAGATCGTCTGTCAGTGAAGGAATTCGGGCAGTAGATGAACGAATGTCTAAACAAGAGGACATTAGGAGGAAAAAGGTATACTTAGGAAGAAAAGGGTACGCAAGTGCCATGACGACCTTGGCCAGTCCTGCTCCTTGTAGCCACAAACACTTCAGACTCTCTTGGGCCTCTTGGTTGGGAGGAGCATGAGCGCCCTCGTTTGGATTTAGGGGTTGGCAGCTCACTAAGGCTTTGAGAGGGCGAGCCTGGTCTTCTCACTCCTGGTCTGATTGAAGTCCCATAGATAAGAGGGATGGGGTAAAGTAACTAAAAAAATGTTAAGGCCAAGAAAATTGCATATTCTCCTTGTGCATTCATTTACCCATGGTAGCATTAACATTTCTAAAGAAAGCTGTAGGTGCCTTATGTGACATGCAGTGAGAAGCCCCTTCCATCTTCTCATACTTTTTAGTTGAGACTGATTTTTGCAGGTACGTGAGTCGTCACTACATTAAAATTTCTCACTTTTTCCAAAAAAGAAGCAGTGAAGTGTTAGTTTCACAAGCTATTGTTTACCAGCACCCATGTAAAGAAGGTGCTCTCAGGACCAGCAGATGGTGTAATGGTTACATTGCTGGACTCCCACGTGGCCGGCCGCAGTTTGAGTCCCGGTGACTTAACATTCAGGCCAGGCTCTTGTGCGTGCACACCCAAGATCCTGAGAGGAGAATGGAGAAGGGACTGTGGCATGGTTATGCCCCTGGATGGTGGTGGGGAGGTGATTTCTTGCTTTCTGTCTCTCTGGCAAGTGCATAGCCCTATAGCAAAAATCTCTCTTAAAATAATACAAAAAGATGTAAGGTGCTCTTACATTCCAGGGCTTAGGGAGCAGTGGACTTCCTAAACACACTATCTGTGCTCTCTGCAGGCCTGTGGTCTGGAGAGGGGCCTGCTGTGCTCACTCCTCACGTGTCTGCTGCTCCGTCCCCTGCCACCCTCAGCCTGTACTGCCTGTGCTTTGAGTGGCCTCTGTCATTCCACCTGCTGCCTTTGTATTTTTAACTATGTAAAGCAGGGTTGGAATTAGAATTCGAGGCTTCTCACTCCAGCTTGGTGCTCTGCTGAAGGTCTCTATATTTTTATTAGCATATTTCTTTAAAATCTCATGGGAACGAAGCTGGTTTAAAGACCTCCTGTTTAATTCTGCTTTAGAGGTGTGCCATCTTCTGTCTCACGACTCGGGGGTGTGGGGCCTTTGTAGAAAGTCTCACTTTAATGAGACGTTGGCCTGCCGCTCTCACTCAGGCCCCAGGATTTCTCCCACTGGCTGCTCAGGAACTATTTGTTCAACGAGTAACTTTGTATCTTTTGTTCTTTTAAGGACCAGAGATGTTACCTTGTTCCTCAAACTGTAAATTCCTCAAACTGTGTAAATGTCTTTAAGGCGTTGACAGTGAGAGGTACAGGTATATTTGCCCACGTAAACAGAGGGGATAAATGTGGTTAGAAACTAGAATGGAAGCGTGAAGAAAGTAAACCTAATGTCAAAAAGATGTTAATTTAGGACGGAGAAAAGAGGATCAGACTACGGCTTGGTGATTTAAGCAGCTGTATCCCCATAGCGCTAGTCCCAGACCTGGTGGCTGAGAAACATGCCAGGCATGTGTGTGTGCACGCCCAAAACCCCAAAGGGGGAGACAGCGAGAACGAGATTGTGGCATGATCGTGCCCCACTGGGGGTTGCTTTTGCTTTCTTGTTTTCTCTCCTGAGTGCATATGTCCTTGAGCAAACTAAAAACAAGGAAAAGAAAGAAGAAAGAAGGTATAAGAATGCAAAAATGAGAAAGTAAAAAAATACAGTTTTTCAAAACTATAAATATTAAAATATGCTTATTTTAGAAAGCCAGAATTAAGATTTGCATTCTTGAAAATTCAGTATTATGGAGAAATATTCAAAATGTAGCAGGCTCTGAGTTTTCTACACATTGACTTTTGGTGAGGAAGTAAGATTGCTAAGACTGAATATAACTTATTTTCGTTCTTATAGATGTGTGTATTGAGGCTTATACAAGTTATTCGATCAGTTGAGAAAATTGAAAAAATCTTAAACTCTCCAAGTTCTAAAGACACATCTGCACTAGAAGCAAGCAGGTAAGTATTTTTTTCTAAATGCCACATAAGTGAATAATCACGGGCAGACCAAAATCTCTAATTAAAACTCAGGAAAGCCAAGCCTGAGTCTTTAGCGTATTTTCTGTCGCTCAGGCAGAGTGGGTGCATGCGTGGGGAGTCAGCGTGTGCTTCCTGGGGAAGGCCTTGCTGTGGGCCAGCAAGTCCTCGTTAGTCTTTGGGCTGTGGAGAGACGTTCATCTGAGCGCCTTTCAGACAAGCCTGGAGCGTTCGTTGATTTGTCTTAGGTTCAAAATGCATTAGTGTTATATCCTAATGAAATGGTAAGAGACATGTTTGAGATTTGTAGGTCACAAAGACTGTTCTCTCAGACTGAGAGGTGTCTCTTCATCTCCTGACTTCTTGAGTCCTGAGACCCATATCTGCCTAATTCCTTTTTGTTTCTTCCAAGTGAGCTCAAAACATGCTACGAGTATAGAAAGGTGGTTGCTAAAGACATTGCACAGTGGGAAAGAAGCCACAGGACTTGCTTTTGGTAAAATGTATTCTTCCGTGTTGTACTGGATGCTGGTGACCCCTCTTGTTTCCCTTAGACTCTGTCCCACTCGGTTTGTACAAAACATACAAATAAAACACTATAAAATTTCACTTTTATAAACTCGATTATAGGCCCCTACTCCAGGAAGTCCTCCTTCATCTCTCCCAGTTAGATAACCCCCTCTGTGCTTCTGTTGGGCCTTTTGGCTGCCTGCCAGAAAATGTGCAGGTGGAACTGGAACTTCCGGGGCCTGTAGCGGGGGCCAGGTCTTCATTAATACCCACAGTGCCTGGGACACAGCTAAGGGACACAGACTAGTGAAGAACAGGCTTCCAGTGACCATGATCTCTCTGTGATCTGTTGTTTTGGAATGTTCCAGCTTTAATTTAACAGATACTATGCTCGTACTCCAAGTCACCTTCAAGGAGCTTGTCTCTTTGAAATCAGCAGTCTTAAGCTGCAGAAAAGGTAGACCTGAGGCGGTGCTAGTGAGCAGTAAATACATCCTGTCATTAGGCCGAGGAATGTTTAGATGTTTTAGAAATTATTGATCCATGGGACCAGTAGATTGCATAGTAGTTCTGTCACTGGACTCCTGTGTAGTTGACTGCAGTTCGAGTCCCAGACCCAGTGGCTTCAAACTTATGCTGGACATGTGTGTGCATGTGCCCAAGAGAGGAGAATGGAGAAGGGATTGTGGTACGGCCATACCCCCTGGGCGGTGATTTCTCACCTTCATGCTCTTTCTCTCTGGCAAGCACACGCGTCCTTTAGCAAATACTTCTCTAAATTAAAAAAAATTTAAAAAGGAAGGAAGGAAGAAATCATTGATCAACACTAGGTTATTCAGGAAGGCGTCAGGGAGATTTAAGACAGGTTAACCTCTCGGGCTGGTCACGAGCAGTAGATCTCACTTCCTCTACAATGGTTTGGACGTTGTGCGTTCAGGCCCGCAGATCACTGCTGCCCTCAGCGGGGATTTCCCGTGTCCTCACGATGCGGGCGTCCCCGCGGTGACAACCTCGGCATCAGCCAGTGCAGGGCTCCCCGGCAAGCCCCGCTGCACTCGGACAACTGCCCGCTTCTCCCCTCTCGCTGTCTTGCATTTCAGTGGTATTGGTACTTCTCAGGGTGTTAAAGAAAAAAAGGTGTTTGTGACATTCTGGCAGATACACGGTGACTGTCTTTCACTAGGACCCGGAGCAAGCGCGGCACTGCTGTTCATACTTGAACTTCTCTGAGATACGTCATGAATGCTGCTGGAGAGCCGGTTTTACTGAGGAGACAAGTATTTGCTATGCTAGAGGATTGAGGTGGTAGAGAAATTGAAGAAGATTGAGTCGTAAATGATAGGATGGGCAGGGGAGAGGTGAAGATGAGGAGGGCCCGCTGCAGGCTACGGCTGCGTGGGAGTCTCAGGTCTCATTCCGGCCCACCCTAAAAACAGTGGTGCCCACCTACAGTCCCAGCTACTTGGGAGACTGAGGCAAGATCTTCAAAAAAAAATGAGGAAGGAAGATTGTGAATGGGAGAGCTTGAAAAGGTCTAGAAATACGTAGTAAGTAATTATACCCACAAGCCTCCCCAGCTTGCCTCTGTCAGGCCCCGTGGCTCAAGGACAGGCAGGTCAGTCGCTTTTGCATAACTGATTTCCTCTGCGGAGATCATGCTGGTGTACAGCTTGTAGGGAACATTGATGCATGAGAGGCATGCTGGCTCTCACCTTGGAACAAGGTGGCCATGGAGAAACGCCCTGACAGAGGTTAGAGCGTGATGGGCACTACAGCAGCCCATCCCTAGCCATCAGTGTGCTCTCGGAGTAAGGTCCCTAGCTGTTGGTGTACTCTCGGAGTAAGGTCCCTAAGCGTTGGTGCCCTCCCTTGGAGTAAGGTCCCTAAGCGTTGGTGCCCTCCCTTGGAGTAAGGTCCCTAACTGTTGGTGTACTCCCGTGGAGTAAGGTCTAAGCCTGGGTGCCCTCCCTTGGAGTAAGGTCCCTAACCGTTGGTGCCCTCCTATGGAGTAAGGTCCCTAACCGTTGGTGCCCTCCCTTGGAGTAAGGTCCCTAAGCATTGGTGCCCTCCCTTGGAGTAAGGTCCTTAACCGTTGGTGCCCTCCCTTGGAGTAAGGTCCCTAACTGTTGGTGCCCTCCCTTGGAGTGAGGTCCCTAACCGTTGGTGTCTTCCCTTGGCACAAGGTCCCCAACCGTTGGTGCCCTCCCTTGGAGTGACATTTCTGTACTCTTCGTCTCTGCAGCCCTCTTTTGACTGGACAGATTTTAGAGAGAATTGCCACTGAATTTAACCAGTTACAGTTTCATGCTGTTCAAAGCAAAGGCATGCCTCTTTTGGACAAAGTAAGACCAGTAAGTATTGTTTTGCATTTTCACAGTTTGGTGTTTAGGAATTTGCTAAATAATTTTGGTTTCTTCCCATAATGCCCCTGATACTAACTGTTTATCTGCAGGATTTTGAAGCTGGTCTCAAGCTCTTTCAGTTTTTGTTTGTTGGCCCCAGCTTCCTAAGCATCATATTACAGATGTACTGTGTTAAGACTCAGTCTGATTTTCTGAGTTTTAAGAGTAAAGTTCTGAATTTCATGCAGTCCAACATATTACATGGCATAGACAGACTTAATGTATTTAAAACTCTTCACTGGACTTTAAATTCATGTTTATCACAAAGATTTACTTTGTGGCTTAAGAGGAAAGCAACCTTTTGGGACCAGCAGGTGGCGTGGTGGTTAAGGTGCTGGACACTCCCACATGGCTGACCCCTGTTCGAGGCCCGGACCTGGCGGCTTCCTTCGTCCCTTTCCCTCTCTCTCTCTCTCTGTGTGTGTCTCTCTGGTCAAATTTTTTAAAAAAATGAATGAATAAATAAAATTAAATAAATAATAATTTAAAAAAAGAGGAATGCAACCTTTTTCTTATTCTCTATTTCTGTTTAAATTCTTTGATGAAGCAGAGATTTACTCGTAGAGATTGTGAAGAGGAGGAGGGGTTCTTTGTCCAGGGAATGTTGGTGTTAATTTTGTGGTCTCACCCTCCGTCGGGTGGGAGACATATTAAGTGTTACTAGTTTTCAGAGCAGTTCCACCAGAGCTTGCTGTCTCACCACGTTCTCACAGCGTATCGCCGGCATCACAGCCACGCTGCAGCGCTCGCTGGAAGGGCTCCTGCTGGAAGGCCTGCGCACCTCCGACGTGGACATCGTCCGGCACTGCCTGCGCACCTACGCCACCATCGACAAGACGCGAGACGCAGAGGCCTTAGTGGGCCAGGTGCTCGTGAAGCCGTACGTGGACGAGGTCTGTGCCCCTCCATCAGCAGCATCTGCAGGGCGTCCTTTCTGTCCCTGACTCTTACCTGTGTGAGGGCTGTGAGAAGCCGCACTGAGGCCTTTCTGTCAAGATTCTCCTAGCATCAGCATCAGCTATGAGGAAAGGTTGATCCAGTTAGAGCTGGCATGCCAGGAGTTGGGCATGTGTCTGCTGTTCTACCCTGGCATTGCTGTGGCCCGGGTATCTTAATTGAGTGGACATGAGAGTCTCACCTAGGAAAAAGGTGTGCATCAAAACATTTTGAGGGGCCAGCCTCATAGCCTGGTAGGTAAGGAAGTGGACCTCACATGGCTGACCATGGTTTGAATTGTAGCCCTGGTGGCTTGAAAAACACATGTGGTGCATGTGCATGCATGCCCGCAGTTCTGATGGGATGGGGAAGGGAGGAGAAGGGATTGTGGTGTGGCCATGCCCGTTGGAGGATGCGTTCTCTGTCTCTGGAGAGCATACATGCCTTCTGCCAGTTAAAAACAAAATGAAATCATGTAACATTTCTTGGTCACTTTTATAGTATGTACATTAATCCTCAATAGTGTTCAAAAAAACATTTTGAACCACTGTTCAGCCGTGGGTGGAATAAAATAATTAGGAGATGTTGACAGTGTGTGAGCAGCGTCCAGAGACCCCGTGAGCATGGAGAGGTACCCGAGTGGAGGACGGCGGCAGACAACACTGGTTGTCGGCTTGATGACGTCGGGCTCAGGACGGCGGCAGATAATACTGGTTGTCGGCTTGATGACGTCAGGCTCACGCCAGAGCAATGAGGAGTGGAGGGGGTCAGTGGTCCAGGAAGGTGGGAGGAGTATTCAGAGCTGAAGGACTGGGCAGCGTAACACCTTCCACCCAGGACGGGCCATCCAACGTCCTTCCTCTGTCAGGAGGCAATTGAAACACAGCCAGGCATGCCCTGCTGCTCAGGCTGGGTCATAGGTCATGCGGGGGCGTTGGTGCTCAGTGAGCTCTGACACAGGGAGACGCGGCTCCCTCTGCTCAGATTGAGGGCTGTCACAGAGCCCTGCTCGGCGTTTGCCTTCCTTGTCCCCTCGCAGTGTGAATGTCCTCCTGTTCAGTGAATTATAAATTGTACTCAGCCATGCACTTCAGGGAGTCTTTAATTTTTTTTTAAGAGGAATATTGAATTCCAAGTAGGAAAATGAAATGTATTGATTAATTCCAATAATCCTATCAGCTTAGTTAGGGTTACTAAAGGTACGTGCTCTTTCAGTTCCCTCTGTGTCGTTATAGCCCATGGCTGCCTCTATGAGGGCAAAAAAGACAAGTGTGCAGTTCTTCTGAATGAGTAAAAATACTTCTGTTACTGATACATGTTTTTGTTTTTATAATCTGATGCGCTAAATCAAATACTCAAAGTCTCCATGACAGTTTAAGTAACTCATAGCCACATTTTGTTTAAACTTACTTACCCTGTCATACCACCTCAACTCAGCCCTATCACAAAAAGTGTATGTGTTTTATTCTGTTTTTCTTTCTCAAACCTTGCCCTTACCTGAATTATAATAGAAGAAAAGGCCAGTTCTCTGATTTAAATCTTTTTTAAAAAGATACTCTTTTACTTTCTCGGTCAGAAAGGAAGCAGGCAGTTGTGGAGGGGCTTTCAGTCTCGGGCCAGGCCATCGCCTAGCCTGCGTCTCCCCTAGGGTCCAAACTAGGCCTCGTCCGTGCTCTTACCCACTCACTTCCTGTTGGCAGGAGGGTGGGCATTGGGAAGCATATTTTCAATGTTTTCGTGATTTCTTTGTAGCACGCAGCTCACGCTTGTAAATGCTTTTTTGAAAATGATCTTCCTTGAACAGGTGATTGTAGAGCGCTTTGTCGAGGCCCATCCCAATGGCCTCCAGATCATGTACACGAAACTGCTGGAGTTTGTTCCTCACCATTGCCGCCTTCTTCGGGAAGTCACGGGAGGCGCCATCTCGAGGTAAGCTGGACGGCTCGCTCGACCACACCTGCTCACTGCACACACGCCCGTCTCGTGGGAACTGGCCCTGTCACAGACAGCTTTGTGGCCATGTTGCCCACCCGCCATGCCGTGAGATAGGTTCCATTAGCCTCTCTTCACAGATGGGGAGACAGATGCAGCTGAGACCGAAGCTACATCTCTGGACCCAAAGCCCACCCTTCTTCCTTGTCCCCACTGTCCTTTCCTGAAATCTGTGGGGTCAGTTATTTGTCTCCCGGGCTAATGCCCGTGAATACCAGCTCAGTGTACTTGGACTTGTCCAAGTTTTATGCCCGTGTTCAAGTTTTCATTCCATTTTTGTGACTCTACTTCTCTCAGGCATCCCTCAACACCATTGCTCTAGCCCAGGCCTTGCCACCTGTTGTCCAGAAGGTGGACACTCCTCACCTGTTCTGCTCTGGCTGTCACGCTCGCACAGAATTCAGAGGTGCTCGGCGGTGCCTACCTCACAAAGATGTCGTGGCTTTCGGTGCTCGTGGAGGAAGACCCAGTGTTTGAGGCCTTTGTGGTGGTTCTCCTGAGTAGAAGGCGTCTTCCAGGGCATGTCCCCTTCGAGCAGGAGCCCCGGCCGCTCGGTGCTGCCAGCCTTTCTCCAACGCCCTCGCTCCCATGCTCCCAGGCTTCTCCCATCCCCTGCTGCCCCAGCGTGTCTGTCTTCCTGTTGAACTGTGGCTCCGGGGAAGCTCTAATTCTGATGCCACGCCCTTCAGCACTCCCTTCATCCTCGTGTACCCTGGGGTCCGTGACATGTAGCTTTTGCTGCTGCGGAGGACTGACCTCCATCTTACAGCCAGAGTCCCCAACCCTTCACCCAGCGTGCAGGTGGCAGCCACCCAGCCCGAGTGTGTGAAGAACTCCATCTGCATGTTCTGTGGCCATGCAGCTCCTTGTCACGGCCAAGCTGCAGATTTGCTCTTGAATTTTTGTTCTTTGAAATAAAAACACAACCTGGGGTAGTTAATATCCTGCTTGACTTTTGAAGCGCCTGCTCTGCTCTCACTGTGCCCTTTCCGAAGAAGCCTCATTTTACTTTCGTTTAGCAAAAGGATGAGGATTTAGTTGGGTTTAGATTTGGGGATGAGAATTCAGTAGAGGTCACAATGTACAATTAAAGAAGCCCAGTTAAGAAGCAGTCATTAGGCTTGTCTTGGTCCCGAAGTGTCAAGGTTCAAAGCTTTAGAAGGTCTTTTTCACAGTTCTCAGCCTGCAGAGTTCCCGTGGAAGCCTTGGAGACGGGTCTGCATGGAACCAGGGCTCTTCCCCGCATGCAGCCCCATCTTCCTCCCCAGCAGGGTGTGCATTTCCAGGTGCAGGCCGCCTCCCCCTTTTTCAGTACCCCCTCCATGAACTTCCTGTCTGGCAACACCTGCAACATCTGGGATCTATCCTTCCAAGAAAACAGATGTTCTTTTCTGATCAGGCTGTGTCAACTGCGATCTTGCAGGTTTCCAGTGTTCTGTTTGGGGCTTTAATTAGGCAGTTGCTGCAGGAATAAGTTTTTTATCATTCACGACTTGAGTATGTGGACCTGTGGTTTAAAATCCTCAATTTTGTTCCCTCCCTCTCCAGATGCCCTAGCAGAGCTGGCTCATACTGTGTTAGACGCATCTGAAATGTGGAGTTGGTTAGGTGGGAAGCAGGCCTCTTCTTTCCCTCCCCAGCCCTCCTCCACTTCCACCGTAATCTCCCCTCAGTGGGTGGGATGGGAAGATGGTTCCACAGCTCTTCCTGGACGGTAAAGCAGAGCTTCCTTGGTAGCTTATCTGTGTCCACGTTTGCTAAGCAGAAAATTAATCAAACTTTTTAAAATTTATTTTAATACTTAAATATTAAGTCCCAGTTTGATAAGAAAACTGAGCTACAAAACTCTCAGTTTTACTAAAACATTACATACTGAATCGCTCACCATATTAAAAGAAAATGATCATAAAACATTACTCAGTACCTGACACAGTGGGCAGGTGGGTAAGATGGTGTTTGCCTAGAAGACGTCAGCAGGTCTGTGAGGGGCGAGGAATCTGCCTCCTTTACTTGTTTACCCTTTGCTGAGTGTCCAGAGACTGCATGCTAGGGATGTCCCTAATGCTTTGTAAATAATCCTTGTAGTGACCCTTGTCATAGTTGTCACTTTCACATCCCCAAACCAGCGCAGAGTTAAGTGTTGTAAACAGAGCAGTTAAATGGACGCTGGCCCCAGAGGGCATGCGTTTATCTCCCTGCGCCTCTCCCAGCTTCTGCATTCTAAACCCAAAGTCCACTGCTACAAAGGCACACAACCAAAACTCATGGTTACCAGCTTTTTGTATCAATTTGTGATCGGGATTTTATCTGAGGAGCCGTCAGGTGGCATTGTGGTTAAGGGCACTGGACTCCCACAAGGCTGACTATGGTTTGAGTCCCATACCTGGTGGCTTGCTTTCTTGCTTTCTCTCTATCTCTCTCTGCCCCTCTCTGGTCAAAATAAAATAAGTAAATAAAGTAAAATAGAATAATTCTAAAGAAAAAACAGATGTTATATGAAGTCTTAATTTTAGAATTGAAGATAATCTTAGAGATAGGGTAATAACCACAAAGCTCTTAGTAATTTAACTTATACTGTTTTAGGTGGTGTTCAAGTTAAAGGCAAAGATTCCTTTGTTCGTGTGTGTGTGGCATTGGATTACTTTTCTTTCCAAGATATGAGAGGCCATGTCGTATTTTGGAGTTGAAAATTGTTCCAAAGGGATTTTATGCAGTGCGTTGGCCCTGTCCTCTGTACTGGTTTATGCGGTGGGTTGGCCCTGTCCTCTGTACTGGTTTATGCGGTGGGTTGGCCCTGTCCTCTGTACTGGTTTATGCGTTGCGTTGGCCCTGTCCTCTGTACTGGTTTATGCGGTGCATTGGCCCTGTCCTCTGTACTGGTTTGCCTAACCTTGACACCAACTGTAGGGGTCAGGATTCAAGAGGTTGTTCAGGTTCAGAGTGAGGCTGAGATCAAGGAATGAATATAAATTCGAGTTTAGAAACAAACTGATAATATTGTTTTTCTTTTAAAAATTTCAAAAAAAGGTTTAGGCTAAGCACCTTTTGCTGTACGGAGTGCGGAGATTTGCTCTTTGTAAATAGAGGGTGGTGTATCTGACTGACGTTTTCTCTTACCTCACAGTGAGAAGGGCAGTGCTGTTCCTGGATATGACTTTTTGGTGAATTCCGTCTGGCCAGAAATAGTACAAGGACTGGAAGAAAAGCTGCCCTCGCTCTTTAACCCTGGCAACCCCGACGCGTTTCATGAGGTACTCCCCCTTCACCCCGACTCCTGAAGATGCTAACCTTAGGCTGTAGAAACACCATGTTCTTTCTACATGTCTTGGTCCTCCAGTTCATTAAAACAAAAGACTGTGGGCCGGGCTGTGGCCTGGTGGTAACACAGCTGGACCTGCGTGGAAAGACCCCGGGGTCACAGACCGGGACCGCCTGAGCACACGGATGTAGGCATGCTGGTGATCCCTGCTAGCGGGGCGGACGGACAGCCGTGTGAGGACACTGGGCCTCTCTCTCTGTCTCTTTCTCTGTCTCTCGCACACATGGAAGAAATATAGAAATAAAATTTTAAATAAAATTTAAGTTGCTGGTTTAGCATTGATTTTAGATTGTAAAGCATAGCTCAGTCTAGATGCAATTGTGAGTCAGTGTGTATGTTATTTTCTAATTTTCTTAAAAGGGTCCTCAGAACCATTAAAAACTAGTACCTTCGAGATTTCTCAGGAAAGTAAAGTTTGTCTTCCTGTAGGGTGTGTCCCTGTTACTTTCCTGACTGTAAATCTCAGTGCTCTTGAGTGTTGTGTGTGACGACAGCCCCTCTGGCCATCCCGTGGTTAGTGCCCTCCTCTGGCTGCTGGCTTTGTCTGTAACTTTGCTTTGCTGAATTCTGCTGTAATGTGCCTATGAGGAACTTCTTTGTATTTAATATACTTGACAGTGTTTGGGTTTCTTGAATCTGAGGATTGATATCTTTTATCCATTTTGGAAGAGTTTTACTTGTTATTTCTTAAAGTGTGCTTTTCTTTCATTCCTCCTTTACCTCCTTCTCGAACTCGTGACTAGCCCGCCCCTGTCTCTGGGTGGTTGTGTTCCGGATGATTTCTGTGGCTCAGTCCTGGGTTTCAATAATTACTTCTTCAGCTGTGCCTCAACTCTTTTGCACCTGTACATGAACTTTCCAGTTTTACTTACCATTATTTTCATTTCTAGAAGTTCTACTTGTTTCTTTTTTCAAATTTGATTATTGATCTTAGACTGTAGGGAGGTACGAGGTAAGTGCAGTGTGCCGTGGCCTGGTAGACCTCGGGAGAGAGAAGACAGTACATTCGAGCTTTGATCTCCACCCCACCCCCGCCCTCTTTCTTTCCTTTTTAATTATTTTTCCCTTCCTCCTCCCTTCTGGAGAGGTGTTAGTGAGTTGTGCTGTTGATCTACTGTCTCTTCTGGCTCCCATGGGCTGGGGTGTGGTGTGCTCTGGCTTGAGTGCTGCTGTTGAGGGAGCAGTGGGCTCCAGGAGAGACCCTGAACACGTCACAGAGCCACCGTGGGCATAGCTGTACGGGAGGACGGCCTCGTGAGGCCCCTGTGAGTTGTAGAAACTACAATTCTGTTCTGTTCTTTCTTTTCTTTCCTTCCTTCCTTCCTTTCTTTTTTAATTTGCCAGAGAGTGCATGCATTTGCTGGAGAGAGATAAGAGACAGAGACAGAGAGAAAGCACTCCCGATGGAGGGTCATGCCACAGTCCCTTTTCCTCCATTCTCTGGGAATTTTGGGCACACACGCACAGGCACCTGGAGCGTTTTTCAAGTCCAAAACACAAACCATAGTCAGCCTTGTGGGATCCAGCTGCCTTCGCCACTATCCCACCAGCTCACCCTAGAAACGACAGTCCTGCATGTTGACCTTTGTCATCCTTACAGTTTTCAGTGTGTGCTCCCAGTCTGGTTAGCTTGCTGGTAATGAAAATTCCACCTGTTTGTTCCTATTTTAGAAATACACCGTAAGTATGGATTTTGTGAGAAGATTTGAACGACAGTGTGGATCACAGGCCAGTGTACAGAGATTAAGAGCACATCCTGCCTATCATAGCTTCAATAATAAGTGGAACTTGCCTGTTTATTTTCAAATAAGGTCAGTCCTTTTTTTCACTCACGTTCTTCCTTCTGAAGTGGAATTTGGAAAACAGTTAAGGACGTTGCCCTGTGCACCGCTCCTTCTCTGTACCTGTCACATTATTCTTTGGGAGACAGATAAAAGTGGGGACGTCCACGTATGGTCTCCAAGTCTGACTTGCATGACAGAAAGATACATTTTAGGCTTTGAAATTGGAAAGCTTTGGAATGAGCTGGACTCCATGCCCAGCTGCTTTCCCGTGGTTCACGTCCTTGTCCGCTGTGATGAGGTAGAGGAGGAAGAGGAGGGAGGTGGCAGCCCTCGCCTTCCGTCTCGTATTTTTCGTCGCTTGCCCTGATGGTCGCCCTCCCTGTCCGTTGTTTCTGCTCACGTGCAGCGTTGTTCCCACCAGAGTGCACAGGGCGTGCCGGGAGAGCTGTGTCCCCGCAGCTGGTTCCATCTCAGCTCACACTAGTCCTCGTACAGCCCCCCCGTATGAGCTGAGTCCTCGTATGGCTCCCTGTATGCACCGAGTCCTCGTACGGCCCCCTCCGTATGCGCCAAGTCCTCGTACGGCTCCCCCATATAAGCCGAGTCTTCGTATGGCCCCCGTATAAGCCGAGTCCTCGTACGGCCCCCGTATGAGCTTTGTGATGCTTATTCTCCTGGTTCTGGAAAACAGTGACGCTTCACTTCTGGTTTCATGATGATGTCATCTCTGCCAGATGGCTCTGTACACCAGTGTTTCTCAGCCTCTCTGACACAGAGGCCAGGTTCATGGCAGACAGTTTTCCGCGGACCTGGGCGGGGGGAGTGGCTTCAGGATGACTCGAGTGCGTTACAGGTGCTGTGCCCTTTACTCCTGTTGCCACGCTGTAACATGACAAGATATCCTACAGCTCCCTGCACAGCGTTAGTGGGAGCCCTGCACCCGTGTTCTTGCAAGTAGGTAACACTCCGGGGCTTCTGTACAAAGCTGCTGCCGCTGCCATCCCAGGAGGGACGCCCCGGCATAGTGCGGGCGATGGGAGCGGCTATAAGTACAGGTGAAGCCCTGCCTGCTTGCCTGCCACTTGCCTGCTTCCTGACAGCCCACGATCCGGTACCAGGTTCCAGTCCATGGCCCGGTAAACTGCTGTACACGCCTTTGGGAAATGCAGGGTAAACTCCGACAACACCGGGCAGTGTGCTGGGCAAGGTGATGCTCGCCACCTACGCAGCTCCCCCAGTGAGGTCTCGGGGAGTCCTGCAGAGCATCGGCCAGACCGGAGGCTCCTCCATTACCTGGCTGCATGCGGCCATCCATCTGGTGCAGCCCTTTCCTTGGAGTCCCAGGACTGCCGAGAGGAAGGCGTGCTAACAGCTGGGTACCCTGATGAGGACCGTGCGCGACTAGCTGTCTGCACTCCTCTTTTGGTAATGAGATCGCCGTCCTCTCACGCAGACTGCGTGTCGTGGCTCGTTTGCCCAGGTGACGGCGGTGCGTAGTTTGTCTCTCCGTAGGAAATGAAGGGTGCGCTCACCTAGGAGATGCATGGACTGCACTGGACATAGCGGTTACACGGCAGTCAAGATCAAGCCGGGCTCGAGGCCCTTGTCCACGAGCACCATTTTACACGGTGGACTGTGTAGAGGAGTGAGGCCCACTCCCCCATCCCTCTCGTAGTCCAGGTTTGGACTTAGGCTCCCTTCGTGTCTAACATCGCGTCACAGATACACTCCTCAGACTGCAGCCCTCGCTCTGTAACCTCACCCTGCCCCTTGCCGGCAGGCCCCTCCACTGCCACTGCTAGGCTGTCCCCGGGCTATGGGCTCTGGGCGCTGCCAGCCTGGGTCCAGCCGTGACGACCCAGCCCGGCCTCAGCTGCATCTCCTCATCCCAGGTTCTCCCAGAGGTGTACAAGTTTATTTTGGTGCCAAAACTATTCAAATTAATGCGTAGATTTTTTTGTAACATGCATTTTCTGTAGTTTTACGAAGACCCCGTGTATGTTGAAATCTCGCTGGTTTCTCAGAGGTCTTTTGTACTCACCAGGTTTAGTCTTAAGCATTCAGAGGGGTGGGTTGACTTTTCTTTGTAAACTGTGTATTTAAAGTCTTGGAATGTTTAAAATGGGGTGTGAGTGGGGCCAGCAGGTGGCATGGTGGTTAAGGTGCTGGGATTCCACATGGCCGACTGTGGTTCCGATGTCAGACCTGGAGGCTTACTTCTCTCTCTCTCTCTCTCTCTGTCTGTCTTTGGCAAAACTCATGTGAAAATAAATAAATAATAATTCTTTTCAGAAGAACTGAGCGCGTTAGGAGGTGTAGAGCTTGTTCCCAGCACATTTGCCCCCGTGTAAAGATGAGCTCAGCCGGGCTTTGTAGAGCTCTTCTGCTGATCTTTGCTGGCGTTGGGTCATTGTGCTGCAGGAGGACAGAGTGCTGGAGACAGGGCAGGGCAGAGGTGCACTGCGGTCAGGTTCACCTCAGGGTCGCCTGAACTGAGCCCGAGCACAGAGGGGGTGTTGCGAGCGTTCCTACAGGCAGTAGGAACCTGGTGGGCTCTCAGGGACGGCCTGAGCTGCCGGGCCCGGCATGCCCTTGCATCTCAGGAGAAAAGACAGCCCCACCCGCCCTGGCCACCACCACTGAGGACAGGTTTCGTATCCCCTCTTGGTGCAAGATCCCGCCGTGTCTGCATTTCACCTGCTCTTGTGGGCATATTGGAAGGCCTTCTTTTCTTATAGAATAAATGTAAACGTGACTAAAACAGCCTCAAATTATCCTGAGTCAGTGGCTTCCTGGAAACTGCAGGGTAAGTGCTAGCCTTTTAATGCCAAAGGCTAGCTTAGTTAATTGTTTTTTCCCCCAGTGGAATCTTCCTAAAATGTCATGTCCACCTGGGGGTTTCCACGTCATTCTGCATTCCACGTTCAGTGTGTGGCGAACAGTGCCTCCTCGTGGTGTGCAGCCACCACGGTATTAGGTGTAGGTGGCCTACTGCTCCCCTGCGCGCCCCCTCTGCACATCCGTCAGTCCCCTTCCGCACAGACGTCCCCAGGCATCACGGCGCTCTGGTCCCTGAGAGCCGAGGAAGAGCAGGGCCGTGCTGTCACCGCGCCAGCCAGCGTGCACGTTGGAGTTTCTGTCTTACTGTAGGCCTGTGTGGCCGTGGGGGAACAGGAGCCACATGTAGGACTTAGAAATGTTTGCACGTGGGCTCTCCTTTCTTACATGCGAGACTTCACAGACTTGTGGAAATCCAAGTACAAGTTTAGTTTTGTGCAAAAATGTTTGAAATCCGTGTGTAGCTCCACATTTTCCACGAACTTTGGAAGAGCCCACGTGTCCTGGAGGGCTGAATGGCTTGTGGGTGCACACAAGAGCCAGGGCACGGCTGGCGGCCCCACCAAGTGCCCTCCCTCACCCGTGGCGCTTTCCGCTCTCCACGAGGAGCTGAGGTCTGAGGTCTGCAGCTCCAGCCTGGAAGGTACTGCACTGCACAGCCCTGAGAGGGCCGGCCGGGCTCCAGGCTGCAAGGCAGGGGTGGGGGGACAGGCTGTCTACTTCAGGCATCTGCGAGGGCCTGAGGGCGCTCTGCCCCACCTGCCTCGTGTCCTCTCATGGGTGTGTTTTCCAGAGCTGCCACAAATTCACGTGGAACTTTGTGTCCCAAGGCTGCCTGATACTGAGTTCTATCTCCCTGGCGTGGCACTTGCCGCTGCAGTGGGTGCTGAGGCAGTGCCCTACTTGGGGGCTGCATGCCAGAGCTCGCGCCCCACAGGTCACGGAGTCATTCCCCTGCCTCGGCTCACGAGGCTGCTCCGGGTCCCGGTGGCCTGGGCGGTTTCTCCCTGACGTGGGACAGACCTTGAGGGGGTGAAGCCCTGGGCTGTGTGGCCTCTGGGGAGGAGAGAGCACAGCGCAGACGCAGCCTCAGGTAACCTCAGGTAACCTCAGGTAATGGTGCGGTGGCCCACAGGCAGGGACGAAGCAATGTGCGGGGCAGGAGAGCTGGGGAGCGCCAGGGGTGAGTTGTCGTTCTAGCTGCTACTTCCCGCAAGTAACGGGGACCTCCGCCACTCACTTGCCAACAAGCTCTGGCCAGCCCCGGACAAGGTGCAGAGTACAGCTCTCCCACCCCTCGGTTAGATTTGGGTTCGAGAAACCCAAGTTATGTGGCCTTGAGGTGATTAGCTGCTGCAGCTGGGTGGGGCCAGAAGCAGCCTCAGTGGAGAAGGACTGAACTGCAGTCACGCAGCTTGAGAAGCCTGGGGTTAGTGACGATTCAGACCGGCCGCCAGCCACGGGACACCTGTTACGGCACTCGCTCAGTCAGAGCCGCTCACTCTTGCTCAGTACAAAGGTCAGGGAGAATTGGTGCTCTGGGACTGGTTAGACAGCTCCCAGGATGCCGGGCGTGTTGGCAAGGGAGCGGAGCAGGTCCCCTTTACTCGGGAAGAGAGGGGGAGTGTCCAGCAGAACCAGCAGAACCGTAAACACTGTTCTCTCTTTACCCCAGGTTTAGAGAAATAGCGGGATCCTTAGAAGCGGCACTTACAGATGTGCTGGAGGACGCTCCAGGTAACCTCCTCAGAGTGGTGAGGGACCCCGAGTCACTCGGACCCTAATGCCTTACCACTCCACGGGCTGGATCGTAGACACTTGGTTTAGTTTTTTAAAACGGTGAGAAGAAACCAGAGTTGTTGCTTTATGGAAATGGTAGGACGAATGCTCTCAGAATATAGGAGTCCGGCCTGAGATTCCTTCCTGAATGTCACCGGCAAGGGGATATGGCCTCTGACACGCCCAGGTGATCCGCCAGCAAGTGGGCTCAGTCCTCCTCTTCCTCTGGGGCTGCGTGCTCATCTGCATGATAAAGTGCCAGGCCGCTCTCCAAGAGACAGAGACAGGACAGCCCATAGCTAGGGTGTGCCCCCACCACACCCCTGGCGCCCCGTCCTGGCACTGGGCAGTGACAGCTGGCCCAGGACGTGTCTGCGTGCCCCGGCAGCCTCACTGGTCTTCCTGTCCTGCTGTTCATGCTGTGACTCGCTGCAGCTGCACAGGCTCTGGGTCTCTCCCTCAGTGTCTCTCGTTCGTGCACTGTCGTCTAAATGCCACCTCAGCCTCAGAGTTAGTTTTCCTGTCTTTGCCGGAAACAGCCAGGTGTGCGCCTGTTCCCCTGGTTGTGTCTTACGTTGCAGTGGGGGAGACAGGAGAGGGACAGGGCGACTGGAGATGGGCGTGAGCCCTTGCACGGGCCACCCCTGCTCATGGTGGTAGACTCGGTCCCAGGAACCTGACAGCCAGTCTGAGGTGGCCGTACGCCCGGGAGGTGGTGCTGTGCAGTTACAAAACACGGCACTTGAGGCATGTGGGAAACGATGGTGGCCACACGGTCACGCAGGTGTCCCCACCACAGTTTGCTAATCACACCGTGTTCTCAGAAGGCCCCTTTCTTTAGCTTTGAATTATACTTTGAAAATTTTAAATGAGACTTTACCTACGGTTGGCCGCCTTTTCTCAAACGTGTGGTTTTTCCCTCTAGCTGAGAGTCCGTATTGCCTTTTGGCTTCTCACAGAACGTGGAGCAGCCTCAGGAGGTGCTGGTCGGACGAGCTGTTCGTGCCCTCGCTGGCGCACCGCCTGTGGAGGCTCACGCTGCAGGTCCTGGCCCGCTTCTCCGTGTTCGTCGGCGAGGTAGGCGGTGGCCACTGCTGACACTGGCTGGGGGAGGGCGGGCACTGCCCGACATGGGGGGGGGC